ATGATGGGAAAAAAAGGTACCATGTGAAAACCCCTCTAAAGTTAAAACCAATATACAAGACTCCCTTGTTCACACTGACAGTCAAAGGGTTAAAAAATTATAGAGTGAAATACGCTTGACGTCTAGGGCGGGAATGGATTCACTCATCTCCATTTAACCCTTCCTGTTTTACTATTCAAATGAAGCCTCTTAAACATGACTTTTGTAAGTATCATATATTTTATGTGATGACTGTGATTCCCCCAATTACATTTTGGAATTTCATACAAGAATTCTTACAGTATAGAAGGTAACCGATAAGGGTGTTGCATCGCTAACATTTTTTTAAAAGCTTCTTGCGAGTCGCGCAATATAGGCAAAACTTTTTCTAAGAACTAAATTAATAAACGGGAACAATGATCAAAACTAACGATATTTTTCGGCATTAAACAACATTAGCAACCCGTTACATTTACATAGTTGGACAAACAGATTATTACCTCGCTAGAAACTTATCACTGACTATGGTCCTGAGGTATATTCTATGTATTTTTAAAAAAAAAAAAAAACTACTTCTACTGAGGGCTAAGTGGGTCTGACCTTACCTAACGGTTAAATATGAAACTATAGAAATACCATGCATGCCTTGCGGACAATATTGTTGGTCCTAGTCATCATAATACGGTGGCCCACAACGGCAATACACAAATATATATTATATAACTGCATTCTGTATCTTAGTACACAAACATATTCATTGGCTATGTGAGTATATTTACCAGTACAATAAAATATACACCAGTACAACAATATGTATCCCAGCACAGAAATGTTAATTTCAGTACAAAAATATAAACTCCTGAGTACGGAAAGATATCTCTAATTCTTAGTACACAAATAACAGCTCCAGTAAAAAAAAAAATATCAGTCTCTCAGTACAAAAACATAAGTTCCAGAACAAACATATTCATTGGTTGTGCGACTAGATTCTTCAGTACAGTAAAATTCATGTATACAACAGTACAACAATATTTATCCCAGTACAAAAATATAAATCTCAGTACAAAAATATAATTAGCGGTACAAAAAATTAAAAAAAAAATGGAAAGAAAAATATAACAACAGTACAACAATATGTATCCCAGTACAGAAATATAAATTTAGTACAAAAATAAAAGTTTCGGTACAGAAAAATATTTTTTAAAAAATTTGGAAAAAACCGGTAGGTACTTTATATATGATTATTACTATGTACCTAAATATATATGCTTATTATAGCATACCTTGCAAGAGAGACTACTAACAATCAAAAAAACAAATATAATTCGGTGAAACATTTACAGAGACAACAATTTTCATTCACGAAGACAAGTATTAAAGTGTCTCTAAAAATCCTGAGTCTTTAAAGCGTACAGCTTAAGCCGGCTTCACGGCACAGGATGAAATAATAGAATTAATCTGTTTTAAAGCTTACCTAAGGATACACAAAAGAAGTATTTAAACTATCTTTAATTTATTTACTAAAGACATGAAATACACTTTTCATAGACTTTAAGGTGAAAATTAAAGGCTAACTTATGAACCATTTCATAACCGCTTTAAGTTAAGAAGAAAGGTAACTGAAAGGTTCATTTCATAAACTTTAGGAACTACTCTTAAAGCGTACGTTCTAAAGTGACATTTAATTAATCTTTTGTGTCGACTTTAGTACAGCTTTAATTTTTCAAAAATGCTTGGTGGTATATCTTTGCTTTGCCTTTAATTCTACTTTAATTCTACTTTAATGTAGTATTAAAGACTCATGTCATCTTTAATTTGTCTTTAATTCTATTTTAATGCTTCATAATACCCCGCATTTGTCATCTTTAATGTGCCTTCAATTCGATCTATTTAAATGTGCATTAAAAGCCCCAAGGAAGAGAATAAGATAAAGGGATTAAAACTGGGGTCTCTCAGCTTGTCGGAGAAACAATATCATAAGTTGAACACTGGAATCCATGACTGCATAGTTCCTCTTAAAGAAATAAATAAATACAGTGAAACAAACAAAATCTACTTTAAAATCAGTTTATTGTCAATTGTGTCTAATTCTTATTTTGAAATTATTCACTGCCTACTTTAATGGGAAAACCGTTTTATGGTGAAAAAAAAAGACCAATTAAGGACCACAAATTCAAAAAAGTTAAAAGTACATCTCTTTCAAATAGGTTTGATGATCGTTAATTATATAATAAATTCACAACACTGTTCATTGTCAACTTATGAAGATAGTCCTGCGATCACACAGATGAAGTGGTCGAAGTATCAAGATCTGATGCTTGAGCATTAAGGAATTTCAGGAGGGTCACGTTCTGACGGCTCCTTTGCTACAGTTCTAGGCACAATCCTGTTACGTGCCCTCTTAGACAGCCTCTTGTTATACTTTTTATCAAGCCGCTTTTTGATTTTTTGCAGAGCTGTGCTCTCCCAAGGGAGCTTTTTGATATTATAACTGGTAATTGTCTCCTTGCCATCTTCGTCAGCTTCATAACAGCTATCCTCGCTGCTCATTGTCTCCATCAGGAGGACCTCTGCTTCCATTCTCATGGTTGTCGCCCCATTTCCCCATTTCTAGGGCAGCTGTCCTCCTTGTTAACTTCTAAAAGAAAGAAACAGAATAAGAGTAGGTGGTAGGCCAGAACTCATTACAATACAATCCAACTGATTCCACCATTGGATACGTAACAAAAGAGTATAATTAGATGAGACTTAAACAATATCCAGACTAATCTCTCTTATTATTCTGTACATCACAAAAATTAAATCTTATAATAAATTGTCGTTTTTTGAATGAAAAGATATGGTCAGTAGGTATGTTATTTACTAACTTTTCACAGATAACAAGCCACTTAAACCAACTAAGCATCCAAGGTTTACATCAGGTTACTCTAAGAAATCATGCAACGTGCGTGTCCTCCTTTTATGATCTTCATATTTGTCAGAATTTTTGCTGGGAATTAACGGAGCCTTTACATTTGATGCTAATGAAAATGGAAAACATTATGCGATACACACTGCATGAATTAAAAAGTTAAGAAAGATTGCGTTCTGTTGTACTAAAGTAGTCAAAGTAAGTTGACAAAACTGGTGAGCCTGTTTATATAAATTCATTATGAATGCAGACAGCATTTTAAAGACAATTGTTGAAATAAACAGCCGCCGCATTCTCAAAATCTTGTCCTGTTGCTTCTTTTAATGAAACACATTAACCCTCTTTTCTTAGTTCAAGGGGTGGGAAATTTGTTCCCTTTTGACCAAATATGATGCCCCTGGGGTAGGGCATTGACCTTCACAAAAAAGCTTTGAGTTCAAATTCCCGGGCTTTGCTTGCTTCCCTCCCCCCTCCCCCCACCAGATTGACTTTGAGAGGTGCATGAAATTATTAAACTGTACAAATTACGGTAAATACCATACATTTTCCGCTTTCCAAAACGCCAAACGGCACAGAAACAAAGAGACTCAAGCATATACATTTGTACTGTGAGGGTTCCTCAGAGTTAAGTAATGTGAGGTAAGCATTTTTAACCTACAACTGCATTTCTTTCTAACACACGACTTAAAACTTGAAATAACGGACACTAGCAGACTACACACGCCCTACGCACTTCCCAGCAATAATTTACTATAATTCTCTTAAGCTGAATTAAGTTTGATATTTACCAAACTATTCCTGTAAAAGCTTGATTGCAGATGGAATCACGAAAAGTTCAGCTCATACAGCATGATGTTGCTGAATCTTTGTGTCATTTTCCCAAATGGCAAAAGGCATTGTCTGAATCACAAGGCACATTTTCATTGTTTTAAGCTCGTCACTTTCCCAATGACAATCAAAATCTCTTTCAAGTTTCACTATTTCCACTTTAAATGTGGAGTATCAGGTAGCGTTGCCTGCCAGTCGACGGCGTTGCTAAAACGAGGGTAAGGGTAACACCAAGGGTAAGGGTAAGGGTAAGGGTAAGGGTAAGGGTGGGGTTGGGGGTGAGGATAGGGTGAAAGCGTATGGAAACATAACTGTATCGATGATCATGCAGCGATCATTCATCCGTTGCTCTTACTGGTTTTGTTCAGCACAAAAAAGAAATTTTCTCACTGAAATTGCGTTCTTTTGCGGACAAAGCCTGGAAAAAAAATCGGTCCAAGAGTTGACGAAGACCGGAAATCAATAAAAATTTGTCTACTGCTCTCCCTCCCTTGGTCTGACCTCAGAGTTCTCATATTACTCTATCGTATGGTGATCACATGAAATTTCACCAGGACGTGAATTTACTTCCAGCGTTTGCCCACTTTGTTTGGTAATAGCCGCTTACATGGAACCAAGGGAAACTTCACTTTACGAGGTAAACATACTTTTAAACTGATCCTATGACATTTTCTATTCGCTGTATTTAATTCTTATGTCACATTTGGAGACGAACAAACTGTACATCTAACACTTTCCCTTAAAAAAGGCAAATGTATGGTCTTCAAACCGCGCCAAGTCCAAGACGTACGATTTGTAAAATTCAATGAAATGTAAAGTATAAAGAAGACAATTTGGGGATGGGGGGGGGGGGGAGAAATTTTGGGTGAAAATCTAAATTTGAATTCCCACAACAATTCTCACCCTTACCCTCACCCTTACCCTTACCCTTGGTGTTACCCTTACCCTCGTTTTAGCAACGCCGGCCAGTCGAGGCTATCCTGCCATGTAAGCTGTAGCAAAGTGTAGCCAACAAGTGGGCAGATGCCCTCATGACTAGACCTCATCAAGAGAGAATGATTATTCCCTCTTGACCTCATCCATATATATATCTGGATAATCTCGCTGAATTTGACTCGGAAGCTCAGTTGCCTATTTCCGACGCGTCGTTTCCCTGAGTTAACCCAAAAATTTGCGGACCGTCTTGTCGATCATGGCTTAGTCCAACTTAATAAATAATAATAATAATAATAATAATAAATACCTGGGTGTAGATGAAAGTGATGGTATCCAGCATAGCAAAATGAAAGAGAAGATAAGAAAAGAATATAATCGGAGAGTAAGATCAATCCTAAGAACTGAGCTCAGTGGAAGAAACAAAATAGAAGCTATCAATAGTCTTGCAGTCCCAGTTGTGCAATATAGCTTTGGTATCATTGACTGGAAAACCTCAGAACTGAAGGAGATTGACACAAAAACACGCAAACTATTGAACATGCACAAAATGTTACATCCTAAAGCAGATGTGGAAAGGCTGTACATCCCAAGAAAAGATGGAGGTAGGGGCCTGATTGATGTAGAAACAGCATTCAAAACTGCAACAATAGGGCTTGATCACTATCTGAAGCACAAGGAAGGGCAATATCCAAAGCAGGTGCTTGAACATGAAAGATTTAAAGCCAAAAATTCAATATCCAAGAATGCTGCTGAATTCAAAATGGAAGTAACAATGCCAGAGATTGAGAACAGAGAAGATAAATCTGCCTCTGAAAATGCTAAAGCCCTGAAACACGTGTTTTTAAGTCCAAGATGAAGTCAAATGAAAGAAGAAAAGTGGAAAAACAAAGCATTGCATGGCCAGTATCCAAAGATCCTGGAGAAGCCTCATGTAGACACAGTCACCACCAACAAATGGTTGTCAAGTAATTTGAAAGGAGAAACAGAAGGACTACTTGTAGCAGCTCAAGACCAGGCAATAAACACCAGAAACTACCAGAAAGTAATATGTGGCCAGCAAGTGGAGAGCAAATGCAGAATGTGTTCGCAACATGAAGAGACAGTGGCCCATATTGTATCTGGATATGAGGTATTAGCCAAAACAGAGTACATCTCCAGGCACAATAATGCTGCAGCATATCTCCATTGGAGCATATGTAAAGATCATGATATAGAGATTACAAACAAATGGTACGAACACGAACCAGAGACCGCGATATACAATAAAGATAACAACGTCACCATCATGTGGGACATGCCAGTCAATACTGATAGAACTATAACAGCGAACGGACCGGATATCATCGTTAAAGATTCAGTGAATTCCACCTGCAAACTGATTGATATGACTGTTCCATAAGATAGAAACATCGCACTGAAGGAAACTGAAAAAAAAAATGCAAGTACAAAGACCTAGAACTAGAAATACAGAGAATGTGGCATATGAAAACCGACGGTGATCCCTGTGGTTGTTGGTGCGCTTGGTACAGTGAAGAAGGGTATGGTAGAAAACATCAAGAAAGTATCAGAGAGAGCTACTATGACAGAGATTCAAAAGATCTGCATGCTGGGATCTGCGCGAATCCTCAGAAAGGTGGTTTGCGCCCGGCTGATGCACAAAAAGAACACCAGCAAAGACTGTGATAATAGAGACAATAATAATTTATCTTAATAATTTACGCGGCGTAAAAATGTCTTAGACTTGTTTACAACTAACAACGGCAGTTTTATTATCAAGACTCAAGTTATCCCAACTATCCCAGGTATTAGTGATCACGATGCTGTGTTTGTTGAGGGAAATATCAAAGCAACAATCAACAAAAAAAACGCAGGATGGTTCCCTTGTACGAATTTCCCAAGTCCCCCTTCGTTTTTCATGAAAACGTGTCCATGATGTGTGTATTGTGGGATCGCCTGAAGGCAAGCATTTCAAGAATGTTTCGAATTTATCACATTCCACTACTCAAACTCTTGTATTTTTACTGTAAATACGACGCGGAATAACCAGCGAGACAGACAGGAACAAATCTGCACAATACAAGGTCAAGTCACGACACTAAGAATGGCTTTTACTATATAACAGAAAATCTTAAAAAAAATCCTACCAATTTCTCAAGTTTGCGTAAAGGACACTACGCCCCTGGGTATGAATCTCTTGATACCAGAGGTCAATTCCTCTTGAAAACTAGACCACAAATCATCTATTGACAGATCACAGACAGTAGAATGCATGACAGAGTCTACATATTTAGCTTAGTCAGTTTTGCCATCCTCTTCTTTCTTTCTTCCTTCCTGTTGCCAGCGTATAAACTCACTAAAACAGGAACCTTACGAAACCACGACGGCGACGGCAACGAGGACAGCAAAAACAATAGGTAAATATGAGCAAATCAACTGTTTTGACTTTTTTGTACACTTCTTAGCTGTCGTTGCACGACTGCGACGTGAAACTTCCTAATCCGGCCCTTTTCCAAAATTTCACGAGCCTGCTTAGGTGAACACAACTCAAAAATTTTCTTTCAGTCTGTTCCTAAACTAAATACAGTCTTTTCGGATTCAACCCCAGAAAACTTCGCAAACACTTGACAAATTAAATAAAGTTGAATAAGATCGATGAAGTTTGAAACAGTGCTAATTCCTTTATGTGATGTTTTCGGTTTGTTGTCTTCCCGAAATTTTGCTACCATGGCAACATGACATAACGACTTTTCCTCTCATTACACATCTCTAAACCTGCTATCAAACATTAAATGGCCCTAAAAAGATATGACGACTTATGAATATTGTTTACCCCACTCTCTTCCCATCCCTCCTCCCCAAAGTATGTGTAATATATAACTTCTTCAGTTACCCTGAATTTGCTAGAGAAGAGCAGAGAAGTGCCTCAGAAGTTAGAGCCGGAGGTAAACGAGGAATATCTACAATTTATTGTAAGAGGCCGTTAGAATGGTCAAATACCGAAAATTAGAGTATGTATGGGCCGCTAATTAGCTTTTTGAAAAATACTTTCTAAGCTCCTAAGGGCTTTTTTTTTAAAGAAAAAAAAAAAAAAAAAA